TATTAAGTGAATAACAAAAAACTATGTGCCAGGCACTGTGCAATGTGCTTTACAAATAATATCTCATTTGATCCTGACAACCACTCTGAGAGGTAAGTATTATTACTACCGCCATTTTACAGTTGAGGAAACTGAGGCAAGCAGTGGGTGACTTCCCAGGGTCACACAGCAGGTAAACTGAGGCCAGGTGTGAACTCATAACTTCCTAACTCCAGGCCTAGAGCTCTATCTTTACCACTTAGCTGCCTCTACAAATTGGGGGTGGAGGTATAGAATGTATAAATAGAAATAATTGATATAGAAACTAAAGGGATCAATAAAACTCAGTCCTGGGATTTGATGATTTGATCTCGTGGAGAGAAACACCATTAAGTGTCTATCTGCTTTTAAATTTGCTTTATTGTGGTTTGCATTTTACCGTGTTTTAACAACGGTTTTTCTAGATAAAAAAGTATTTTAGTTGTATTCTCAGTGTTTTTGCTACAGAAAGTCTGGATAAGGGGGAAAGCCAATGGTATTTGACTATACAGGATTTACCTGGCTGGGAAGCTGCAGTTCTGGCCTGGTATACAAAGGCTATCTGGGGGCTCGGGGCTTTTATGAACGTAACTAACAATATGTTTATTGTGAAGCCATGTTGACTCAAGACCCTTGCTCTGGGCTAAAATACTTCAGCTGCTAACCTTGATCTGCAGCTTGCTTAACAGGGAGAGAATGGATGGCACACAGGTCTGGGGTCCCTGGCAGGAGATTCCTTCTGATCTCTGTATTTCCCCTACCCTTTCCCGGGGGCGTTGGGGCAGGCGAACCAAAAGGTGCTGCACACTCCCTTCTTATCTCAGTCTCCAGCAAACAGATAAGGATCCTTTGGATTTTTTCCACCCCGGGATGTTAGCACAGAGGGAGGATAGGGGCTGGGTCCTCAAGGAGAGATCACAACCTGAGCCAGCCTAAGTGGGAGCAGACAGAGATGGCCAGGGAGAATTGATTCTCCCATTCTACCTACCTGCCTGTTCCTCAGCTAAACTGCCCCGCTGACTACAACAGCAGAAGCTGTCAGCTCCAAGGCCCTGTCCACAGGAAGATTCTATTCTACTAGTTCAGAAGGAACATGGTCATGGGTAAAAGTTCTGCCTGCCACTAATTAGTCTTCAGTGTCTATCAATCCAAAAAACATTTATTAAGCACCTACCATGTCCACGGCATGAGGCAGCACGCCAGAGTGGATAGAGAACTAGCCTGCAAATCAGGAGGACCTGGGTTCAAATATCACCTCTGGTACTGGATGGGAGACCCTGGGCAAGTCAGCTAAACCTTGAGCATCCCAGGCAATCAACTCTGGGCAACTCTCCTGGACTCCAAGACTTGCCTGCTTGAAACTCTCTGCTGTAAAGCAGGAACCCACTAGCATGTGGTACGAGAAGTTTTCTCTAGTGGTGCAGTGGGTAGAGCACCGGCCTTGAAGTCAGGAGGACCTGAGTTCAAATCCAGCCTCAGACCAAACACTTGACACTAGTTGTGTGACCCTGGGCAAGTCACTTAACCCCAATTGCCTACAAAAATAAATAAAATTAAAAAAAGAAGTCTTCTCTATATTGATGAAAACACACAGGATGAAAGGCTTGGTCCCAAAGAGGACATAGGAGAAGGCACCCAGCCCCAATTCTTTGCAGAGGTGGGGGGAACTCTGAGTGGGAAGCTCCATATGTCAAACTTGTGTGATAGGTTGGTTAGTTTTATAGAATTGCTTTATTTTCTTTTGAATTATTTGTTATAAGGTATGGCTCTTTAGAAGGGGAAAGGGAAAATGTAGTTGATATGAAAGATATCCACATACATTAATTTTTAAAAGTAAAAAAAGGAACAGCTAGGTGGCGCAGTGGATAGAGCACTGGCCCTGGATTCAGGAGGACCTGAGTTCAAATCCGACCTCAGACACATAACACTTACTAGCTGTGTGACCCCAGGCAAGTCACTTAACCCTCACTGTCCAATCAAAAGAAAAAAAAAGTTAAAAAAAAATGAAAAGGGGAAAAAAAAATCATAGGTCTATTCCAGAACAACATGCCAGGTGCTGGGGATGCAAAAACCAAAACTAAAGTCAGTCCTTTCTGTCTAAAAGCTTACATTCTCCTTGCAGGATGAGTATAGATGGCACACTGACCTGGGGTCCCTGGCAAGAGGATCCTTCTGACCTGAACACCTCTCCCTAGGGGCAGCTGGATAGAACGCCAAACCAGGAGTCCAGAAGACTCATCTTCCTAAGTTCAAATCTGGCCTCAGACACTTACTAGCTGTGTGACCCTGGGCAAGTCATTTAACCTCGTGTGCCTCAGTTTCCTCATCTGTAAAATGAGCTGCAGAAGGAAATGGCAAACCACTCCAGGATCTCTGCCAAGAAAACCCCAAAAGAGGTCACGGAGAGTGGAACGTGACTAAAATGACTGAACTTCTCCCTGCCTTTCAATACTCATGAGGGTTTTGGGACAAGTGAAGCAAAAGGCAATGAATGAGTGTTTATTCTGAAACTCTTCCTGTTCAGGTTCTCAGAGGAGCCTAGCTTAACCAACCCCCTGATCCAGCCAGTTAATCAAGTTTCAAGGAGCTTAAAAAATCCAATTATCTAAGTCATCTGTGTACTGGAGATGGGAGCTCATTGTGAAGTGAAATAACTTTCAGGTAATTATGCTGATCATAAAGAATAATGATGGCTAGCCACAGTGGAGGACAGAGACAGTCGGCTTGAGAGACAGAAGACCTGTGTTTGAGTCCTGCCTATGACACATGCTATGTGACCCTGGACAAGTCATCTAACCGAGTGCCCCAGGTGACTCTTAAGTGGCAAAGTAGATGTTGACCTGCGCTGGTAGAGGCAGCTTCTGCCCTGGGAACTTCCCTATGTCAGTAAAATCACAAGTCAGGTCAACAAATCAACATAGTATTAAGTCACCCCAGCACTTAGGGTTTATAATAAGCCTGTGAAATAGACAGTGGCACGATGATGGGCACCATCTTAGCAGTAAAAGAGCAGGTCCCATGGAACAGCCCAGGAGTCAAGAGTTCTTATACCCAGATCCTGGCTTTGCTGCTAACTCAGTTAGTCCTTACCTACCTTGAGACTCAAGCTTCTTCATCTAATAAAATGAGGAAGTTAGCTAAGAGGCAACTAGATTGAGGGGGCTGGGACCTGAAGTCAGGGAGACCTGAGTTCAAATCCTGTCTTCAGATATGTACTAGCTATGTGAATGTGAATGGACAGATCACTTAACCTGTGTCTGCCTCAGTTTCCTCATCTGTAAAATGGGGAATCATAACACCACCTTCCTTATAAAGTTGTTGTTTGTCCTTCATTCTTGAAGAGGACCATGACATCAGGAGGGTGATGCCATGACATGCAAGTGAATTGGACTGAAGTAAGGGAGGCCTGTGCAAAGTTACCAGGCCCACTTTCTCCTCTGGAGCCAGCTGGGGCCAGTGGCCAGATCAGGATGACTGGAGGTGGCCCTCAGGGTTGTTGTGAGGGTCAAATGAGATTATATTTGTAAAGTAGCTTGCAGACCTTAAAGTGCTATGTAAATGATAGTTGTTATTACCATAAGATCCGGGATTCTTTACCTTTGCAGTGACCCCTTTGGCAGCCTGGAGAAGCTACATATTCCTCATGATAACTGTGTGTTGTTTTTAAAAAAATTTCTAATCGAAAGAGATGCTAAATTTCAGCTTGAGATTAGTGACTATGCTTTTCCCATACAAGTTCCCGGTCCTCGGCCACCCAATCAAGCACCTCTAGATCTAATGTCCTTTCTGGCTCCAGATCTGGGATCCTATGACATCCTGCTGTCTCTCGGAGAGCAATTTGTCCTGCCTAGCCCCAGAGGGCAGAAGCAGGAGCAGAGGTTGCAAGATGTAGAAAGGAAAATGTTGGCTTGATGCAAGAGAAAACTTTCCAACGGTTACAGACGTCCCAAAGTGAACTGGGTGCCCATCACTGGAGGTCTGAATGCAGACCTGGTCAGGATGCAGAGAACGGAGTTCCCACTAAAGCAGGGATGGTACTAGATGGTCACTGAGGGCTCCTCCAAGACAGAGATGCTAGAATCCCTAAGTACTCCATTCTCCTAAGTGGACAGGCAAGCCAACATAGTGGAGAGAGAACAGGCCTTGGACAGAGGAGGCCCAGGGTTCAAATCCCACCTTTTGACACATACCGGCTATGTCATCCTGGGTAAGACACTTATACCTGTACCCCTCAATCTAGGCTACTTATAAACTAAAATACTCTTGGGACAGGGCCTGGGGAGCCTTGCAAAATCAAGGAATTGCAGCACCCTACCCCAAACACCCCAAAAAAGAGGTTTTCAAATTTGCTGAGTCATGGTGAAAATTCTATGAAGACAGAGAGATATATGGGAACAAATAATATTGGGGGTGAGAGGGTGGAGAAGGCAAATTACTGTTCCGTACTTTTTTCTTTATCAAAGACCCAATGTTTACTCCAAACAGGGTAGAAAATTTTTTTCTTATCTTATTGAAATCTACGGCACTTTCCTTATCTGATGCAGGAGTGAAAGAGAGAGACAGAGAGACAGACAGACAGAGGCACAGAGATAGAGACACACAGGGACAAAGAAAATGAAGTAGTGTTAGAAAGAGAGAGATGTCCCAAGACAGAGACACAGAAAAACAGAGACAGAAACAGATAAACAAAGAGAGATGGAAACTCTATGTGAGGGTAGTAAAGAAGGCAGAACAGGTGTCCCCCAAGACTCCCCCACTCCACAGGAAATGATCTTCCAAAGGGCACGGGGCATACAGAGAAAGACAGAGCTGCCCCGTCTTTCCAGAAGCTCCTCTTTCCCTCGGGAGAACGGCCCCCATACTCTCAAGATCCCCCACTGTCCCAATGCTAAACAATGCTCCCTTCTCTCCCCCTAACTCCCTTCTCTCCTCCTCCACCCCCACAACCTTTTCTTTCAAAGGGAACAGAACACAGCCAGACAGCCCTTGAATTACTTTCCTGAGGGTTTTTATTTTCAGGGGGTTAAAAAAAAGATCTCCTGGTGACAGGATTTGGCCTCACCAACTGGCCTCCACTGAGCAACCAGGTCCAGGAATAAACCCTCGTTTTCCCTCAGGCCTTGAAAGGACAGAAATGCCTCCCTCATCTCACTTTTCCCCCCCTCCCCAGGAGTCAAATTCTTTGAAGAATGTGACCCTTCCTTCTTCCCCGAACCTTATTCTCGGCCTCCTCCCCTCAGTACTGAAGGAAGGCTCTCTCAAGAGAGATAGAGAGATTTTTACCTGCACTTTAGCTGAGGTCCTCGGCCGGGAGCCCGCAGCAGAGATGCCGTCAGCTTCCACCCGTCTGACCTGTCGGACTCATTCGCCGGCCTCTGGGACGGGCAGAGCTGCCAAGCGCCAAGCTGAGCGCCAGCCCTGGCCCGCCTGCCCGCCTCCCTGCTGGAGGTGCTGCTACACAGAGCCAGACAACAAAAGACACCTGCCTGCTCAGTGCTCAGGTGGACCCACCCTCCAGGCAGCCCCCACACCTGCCGGCCCTGACCAATGAGGCAGAGACATCCTTCCTATGAGTCACTTGGTTTCAAAAAAATGAAAGCTGGTGAAGACAAAGGAGCAAAGAGGAGAAACCAGGGGTGGGGGAGGATATCAGATTAAGAGCTGCAAAGGACCGGGAAGATCCAACTAGCCCAACACCTTAATTTTACAGAAGGGGAAACTGAGGCCCAGAAAGGGGAAGTGGCTTGGCCAAAATCACACAGCCAGGAAGTGACAAAGCTGAACTAGAACCCAGGTCCTCTTTCTAGCAAACTTCCCCCCTACTCCACCACCAGTGAACCAGGAGTTTGGAGAGATCAGACAAAGCCATTGGGAGCCTTAGGCCTTAATCGAATGCAGGTGGACTTGGAAGCCAGGATACCCCGGCTTTGAATCCTGCCTCGGATCTCCCTTTCTGTGCCTCAGTTCTCCTGACAGCATTGGACTAGATGACCTAAGGCCCTTTCCAGCTTTCAGTCTAGAATTCTGTGGTCTCTTTGGGTGTTCAAATTAAATTAAATTCCATTGAAGTCCATGAACCAGATGAAGAAACACACATCCCTCCTTTCTGTAGAGAAGCGGGGGGGCTCCATGCACAGAATGGTATATACACGGTCAGATGTGCTCACTGTATTCTTTGGGATTGCTGAACTTTGTATGTAAAATAAAGAGTCTGGACTAGGTGTCCCAGGAGCTCCCTTCCAGCTTTAGCTCTCTGATGTTCGAAGGCATTTCACATCTCCAGGCCTCAGTTTCTTCACCTGTAAAATGGGGAGGTAAGACTTCATGGCCTTCAAGGTCCCTCCCCGCTCTCCATCCATGATCCTCATCAAGAAAGCTGCTTAGGTGTCCCAGATGCCTGGAACACCCTCCTTCCTCACCTATCTCTTAGAATCCCTGCTCCCTTGGAGGCTCAGCTCAAGAGCCCCTCCCACCAGAGACCTTTCCAGCCCGAGGCATCAGTGCCTTCCCCCTCCCAAACTGCTTTGTATGGACTCTGGCTCTGTTTTGCATTTACTCATCTGGGCAGATGTCGTCTCTCCCCAGAGGAGTAAATAAGCTCGTTGGAGGCCGGGCCTCAGTCATTTTCGTCTTTGTACGTCTAACACGCGGCAGCGTTCAGGTGCAGGAACAAATAAACGCTTTTTGATTGTACCTGGTCTGATCGACTCCCTGCTCTCCGCAGGGCCCCTCCAGATCTGCTCCCAGGAGTCTAAGAAGCCAGGCTAAAGAGAGAGGAGGCCACGGCACCAGTGAGCTCGAGAGTGAACAGGGTCAAATTCCAGAGCTGTCAGCTGGTCTCTCCCTGTGGGTGGCTATTTAGGGAAGGCAGCTTCATTCCCGAAGCAGACAGACTGGCTGTCACTGAGGGAGGAATCCAGGAAAGGGGCAGAGCAGGGACAAAGCCAGAACAGGTAGACAGGCCGGAGACGCGGCCCACTGGGAAGGAGAGGCCGGCCGTGGCTGCTTCCGGCTGCCCCGGGATCGTGTTCCTGGCACCCACACGGTCCCCTCTCCCTATGGATGGCCAAAGGGTCGCCAGGCAGGCCTGTGCCCCTTTCTTGGGCACATCCCCACCCCCTCCGTCTCCCATCATCAAGGATCACTGACTAAGCAGGGCACTGTTTGTTCTCAGCCTGAATTATGGCCCCGGGCGCTGGCTGGCACAGCTGATGGGGTGGCTGGCGCTCAATCCTACAGCATTACCCAGCTGTTTCTCTGCCGTCCCAGGGCTGAGAAGTCCCAGCCATTTGATTTCTCTCCCTTTCCTCTTCATTCTCCAGCCTCAGATTCCTAGGGACCCTACAGTCTCTGGGGTGTGTTAGCATCTGCACAAATACTATGGATTGGCCAGAAAGGACACCAAGCAGGATGCTGAAACTCCAAAGCTCTCAGCCCTGAGTTGGTTGGTAGAGGAGATATGGATCTTCGGGTTGTGTGTGTTAGCATATGGGGGGGATTACTCTTAATGCCTTAGATTCAAGCTAGTCAATATAAGCAGGACCTCATAATGCATTAAATGCATTCTCATTATGCATTAAATAATGCGTTAAATTTCATAGAGGATAACCATAAAACAGAGGAGGAAAAATACCTCCCTTCTTTCTATAGAGAGGTGGGGGACGGCAGGTGTGGAATGGTACATATACTGCCAGATGTAGTCACTGTGTTGAATGGTATTGCTGAACTGGTTTTCTTTGTTAGAAGGGAGGGCGCATTGAGGCTATGGAGATGTTAAAAGAACCTCAATAAAACTTATTAACTAAAAATTTATAAAAAAAACTAATTTCCTGGAGGCCCCTACAATATTGGGCTAATTAAATCATAAGAGAAGGGTGAATGGTTGCGAGCTGCCCAGATGACTGAGGCTTTAGGGGTTTTACACGGTCGGCAAAGCATCTCCTCCAAAATCAGAACTCACGGTGCACACGGATGGGGAAGGGAAAGGCAGTCTGCTCGGGTCAGAGCTCAGAATGGCAGCCAGCGTAGAAGAGGCCAACCTCAGAGTTCTGCCCAGTAAGAAAAAAGGACCAGGCAGAGGTGGGCAGATCTGCTTTTAGTGGCTGGGCGTTGCCTGGCACGTCTACAACAACATGAGTCAGGTTCTTATCTCGGCTGTTAGCCCAACAGCATACCCTTCTTCTGGAGATCTCCAAGCCCTCTCCAAGCTGACTGAGAATGCTCCATCGCCCTCGGCAGCTCCCAAGGAGCTCAGCTCCAGCTCCCAGGCGAGGAGCCCCTGCCTGGAGGTCTCTGATGTACATAGGTGGGACGTGACGGGGATCTCAGTGTGCCCAGTGTTCCAGCTGGGAGACTAGTTCTTTCAGTCAATGCCCTTAATTAGAAAACCATCCACTGCTCTCCTCCCCATTAATCACCAGAGGAAACTTCTCAAACATTACCTTGACCCAAATGTTTCTTCAGACCATCTTCTATCCACAGAGATCCAAACTACTTAACATTTGGGGGTGGGGGGGAGGAATGGTCCACTTTCAGAGAGCCAGCATGGTGTGATGAATGGACAGGGGGCTGGGGTCACAAACCTGGCTTCAAATCCTGTCCCCAACACAACAGACGGGTGACCTCTCTGAGCCCTGGGCAGCTTGGAGACTTGAACTCAGTTACCGATGGGGCTGCCAACTGGGAGCACTCTGACATTTTAGAAAGCAGTTACATGGATGTAACAAAAACATTCGATTTTTAAAAATCAAAAAAGTTGTTTTTTTACTTTTAAGCAGTTCTAAAATAGGCCAAAATGAGAGTCTAATTGCTGCTTTCTTCAGTTTCTCTTTTAAAAAGTTCTCTTCACAAACAACAACAAAAAAAACCCACATATACATCCCCACTCCCAGTATTGGAGAGGTGGGGGACCATGGGTGTGGAATGCTGCATATACTGTCTGACTCAGTTAAGGTTTTGGTTAGTTTGGCTGAATTGCCTTTTTTCTCCGCTTCTGCTCACTGGGCAGGGCATGGGAGGAGGAATATATTCAGGAATGAAGGTGATATAAAAACAAAAGATAGGAATAAATGTTTTAAATTTAGAAAGGAAAAAAAATATCCTTAGTTAATATATACATAGTCATCTGATAAACCATTGGCCATAGTCAGAGGTGAGGAGTGAACAGCTGTCTAAATCCTGTGAAAAGCCCAGAATGTGAGAGTTGGAAAGGCATCAGCATTCACCTAGCCCAATCCACGCACAAAAAGAACCCTCACTCTTAACATAGAGGACAAGTGGATAAGTGAGGTTGACTATTTCAGATCCCAAGTGGGAAAAGGATTGTAGCATCACAGATTTAGAGCTGGAAGGGACCATTCAGGGCAACCCCTCATTTTAAAGAGAGGGAAACTGAGGCTGAGAGAAGGGCAGTGAAGTAAGGGAAGGGAACAATCAGGATTGACCCCAGGTCCCGTCAAGCTGTAGAGAAGCGCAATCTCGGTTCAGGGGGTCAGAGGCCACAGGACCTCAGACTGAGCTGGAATATATTTAGAGCAACCCTCTTATTTTACAGATGAGGAAATAGAGGCCCAAAGTGGAGGTGACTTCTTCTGCATGAAATCCTTCCTGAAGCCCTCCCTCCCAAACTGCCTTGTATATAACTTCTTTGTCTAGATTTCTATTTAGTCGCTTTATGCCTGACAGTCAGACAGACAGACAGACAGACACACACACACACACGTTTCTTGTCTCCCCCATTAGAATGCATGCTCCTTGTTGACTAGAGATTTCATTCTCTCTCTTGATTCCTCCAAGCCCAGCATGGTGCCTCACACATAGTGGGTGCTGATTATATGTTTGCTGACTGACTGCCCAAGATCATCCAGGTAGCTAACAGCACTGTCAGGACTTGAACCCAGGCCCTAAGATTCCAAATCTAGTACCCTTTCCACAGCCCCACAGTCAAAGTGATATCATCAGAGAAGTCCAGCATAAGGCAGGAAAAAACAAATCTCTCTCCTCTCTCTCTCCATGGAAAATTGTGGGGACATATGCATTCAGAGGTCCGGCCTCTCTGTGACAGCCACAAGGTATCCAAGTCTCAGACACAGCAGAGGCAGATGAGCCTGGGCTTGGGTGCACTGAGCTACTGGGGTCCTATGGGGAGAATGGGAGCTGAGAGATGGCCAATGGGCAGGAGCTCCAGAGGCTCCAGATGGACATCCTGCTCACTCCAGCCCTGACAGAGAGGGACCCAGAGGCTGAGGGGGCAAATGGATGGCTCCCCAGGGTGTAGGCGTCTCTGCCCTCCTGACAGGCTGGACCTGTGCTACATGCACATAGGGTGAAGGAGGGGGGACAGACAGACTGACTGACACAGGGGGAAAGAGAGAGAGAGAGAGAGAGAGAGAGAGAGGGAGAGAGGGAGAGAGGAAGAGAGAGAGAGAGAGACAGAGAGACAGAGAGGAAGAGAGAGAGACAGAGGAAGAGAGAGAGAGGCTGAGAGCGAGAGAGAGAAAAGAGAGACAGAGAAAGACAGGCTTAGAGAGAGGAGAGAGAAAGAGAGAGGGGGCAGAGAGAGACAGACAGACAGAGAGAGGAAGGGAGGGAGGGAGACATAGACAGAGAGAGGGAGGGAGGGAGGAAGGGAGGGAGGGAGGGAGGGAGACTGGTAGAATGAAACACCAGCAGACAAGACACAGAGGGACAGAGACAGAGACAAACTCACTAAGACTGAGAGACCAGCAGATAGAGAGAGGGAGAGAAGGAGATGGGGAAGTAGAGAGACAGAGACAGAGAGAAGAGAAAGAGAGAGAGACAGAGAGAGGAGAAAAACAGAGAGAGGGAGAGAGGGGGAGATAGAAAGACACAGGCAGTCGGACAGAAATCAGCCGACTTGAGACACAGACACACATATGCACAGATGTAGTCAAAGAGAGACAGAGACAGACAGACAGAGAGGCAGGCAGGCAGAAAAGACAAAACCAGAGAGACCACATCCTGAACCTTCCCATACAAGAAGACACTGCTGCCAACAGGCTAACACAAAGGGGTTTTAAAGCAGAGCCAATCGGAAACCAGATGGGACACCATTTAATGAACATTCCAAGGCCAGACAAAAGACAGAGACAGAGACCTAGAGATGGAGAGACAGAGACAGACAGGGAACATGTGGAGTGTGTGTGTGTGTATGTACAGGACCCAACTGTCCACTCAGCCTTAGTAACTCAGCCCCCAGAGGCTGATTGGAGAGCTATTCTCTCCCTGGTCCCAGCAAGTGATGGCTCAACCAGCTTCCCAGTGTCCCTGGGTACCCCCT